GTCTTCAGTCTTGGGGATACAAAAGCAGAAATAAAATGATGTCTACCCTTAGGGAGCTTACATTCTATGGAAGGGATACTAGATGTCACAGAAGAAAAAAATGTTGGCTTTGGACACAAGAAGATTTCAGTTCAAAGCCTCCCTTGGCCCAATATTAGCTGTGTGACCCTGGGCAAGTCACAACTTTCCTCAGTTTGTTTTCTTCATCTGTAAAATGGGGATAATACAAACACTTACCTAAATCACAGGGTTGTTGTGAAGATCAAATGAGGTAATATATGAAAAATACTTTGCCAACCTGAAAATGCTATATAAATGCTAGCTATTATAACGCAACATGAGCATAAGCGAATGAATAAATGAATGAATTAAGCCTTTAAGTTCTTACTGATCAAATGAGATAATATTTGTAAAAAGCACTTAGCACAGTGCCTGGCACATAGTAAGCTCTATAAAAATGCTTATTCCCCTCCACCTTTCCCTTCCTAATTCTGTGTGGATAGACACAAATGGAAAAGCAAGACATATGCTGCTGTCAAAAAGTACCCATTCTAACAGTGGAGACAATGCATATGAAAAGTTTCATTTTTGAAGAGAAGGCCAGTATATTCAAAGTTATTTCAAGAGAGCACTAGCACTAATAAATTTTGGCAGTGGAGGTGATGATTGGGGAAAAAAAAGGCTTCATAGAGCAAGTCACTCCTGAGCTGGGCTTTGAAGGAAGCTAGGGATTCTAAGAGACAGCCATGAAGAAAAAGTCTAGTCCTGACATGGCACCACCTAGGCAAAAGGCACCAAGGTGGTGAAGAGGTGTAGGGGTTTGGGGGTGCTCAAACGGACCCCCCCCAAGATCGCGGCGCCGAGTGTGCCTGAAAGAATTCAACCCAAATCTTCTTCCAGCCAGAGAAAAAGTTTATTAAAGATAAATCACATATAGGCCAGGTGATGCCTGTGAGGACGAGTGGGCATGAGAGTCTCAGCCTCTGGGCATGAGAGGTTCTCAGCTTCTGAATGGGGGCTAAGGTGGTCAAGGGATGCCTGTAAGGACAAGTGGGCATGAGACAGTCTCAGCCTGTGAGATTCTCAGCATCAGAATGGGGGCAAAGGTGGATCTTAAGTCAGGTGACGCCTGTAAGGATGATTGGGCATGAGAAAACCTCAGCCTCTAGCCTTGAGAGATTCTCAGCATCTGAATGGGGACAAAGGTGAATCTTAAGTACAGAAAGACTGTGGGAGGGATCTAGGAGTGGCCAAGTAGTTTGGGGTGAGGGGAGGAAAGGCCTAGGGAGATCTGGATGGGAGTGGCTAGTAAGCTAGGGTGAACAGAACTCCTGGGTCCTGGACCTCATGGCCTAGAGAGGATTAAGGGTGGGAAATGGCCAGGGGCCATAGGAAGGTAAAAAAATGGAGGGGAGATTGGGTGTAGCCACAATGAAAGGCCAGTTGAAGGGGGGAGATGGTTGGGAAAAAGGGTCCAGGTGGGAATTCAGTTTGGAAGGTCTGAGAGATTTGAATAAACAATGAAAATAGATAATGAAGGGAACTGGAAGGTAGACCTTTGCTTTCAAAGGGAGATAAAGAAAGACAAACAGGAGCCAGGTTCTTTTTAGGGCTAAGGGCAGAGGTGCATGTGAATAAGATTAAAAGGTGAGGCTTCAAAAGTCTCAGGCTTCTGAAGCAGAATGAAACCCTTGTCATTGGGAGTGACTACTGTGCTAGCTAGGGCACAGCTAGCAGGCCAGTTTCAATGGAATAGTTTCACCCAACCTCTGTTGGGTGTTGAGTTTGTTTTTTTAGTTTTCCAGTTGGAGATCACCCTATACACACACGGAAAGCTCTCCATTTCATTAAAGGCAGCCCCATACCATCCATCTCTATATTGCTGATATTCTGAATGGCCAAAATCAATGACAAACAGGGTCAGAGCCCATCACAGACATCTGTGCTTTTTTGACAGATGACTAATTTTATTCCTGCATTCTCCCCAAAAGCAGCGACACTTCCAGTTGCTTTTATGTGGTAACAAAGCTGGTAGGGATTTCATGTTGACCTAAGTTTGAGAGCAGAATGATATTGGCCATCCCCCAATGAATAAGAGAGTTCCAGGTGGACCAGAAAGTACAAGATTATGTATTTGGAATGCTACAAAGTAGTTTGTACTCAGCACCATTTGCTCTAAGCCTGGGCTATAGGCCTTAGATTGGGGCTAGCTTTTAAAAAAATTACTCATTTTATTTTCAAAATTTTTCATGATCTGAATTATTTTTTGCCAAGCTCTGCACTAGTTGTCCTGGGTGTGGTGTAGTGGAGAAATGGTATGGGAATTGGTTGGTTGTTGTCCATGCTCAGAGGACCAGAATGACATCACTATGTTGGGGTCAGGGTACAGTGTGTCCGACTATGGCTGATCAGACCAATATGAGATCAAAAGGTTCTACCACAGGTCAAACACAAATGGTCCATATGAATGTTTGGAGTGGAGATGGCACTAAATTTGTGCATCTCACCTTTATTTTGAGCTATTGCAATTCTCCTTTGCCCATAGAGCAAAGAAAAATAAGTCAGGAAACCTGGATTCCACCACCACCCTCCCTCCAATAATAGACTCACAGTATTATTTGAGGCAAGGGATGAATTAAGGGGATTTTACTTGATGACTTCTAAGATCTTCTCCGACCCAATCATTGAATTAAATAATTAAGTTAAATCAATTCAATTCAGCAAACACTCATGAAGTTTCTATTCTCTATAGAATAGAGAGCTAGGTGCTAGGGGAAATACAGGAGTTAAGTCCAACAGGGTTCCTGCTTTTGGGGAGCTTATCCCCTTTCCTCCTCCTCATTGTTGGCATTTATCAAGCACTTAACAAGTATTATTATGTCATTTAAGCCTCACTACATCCCTGGAATGAAAGTGCTATTGTTATCCCCATTTTATCAATGAGAAAACTGAAGGGGGTAGAGGTTAAGTGACTTGCCCAAAGGCATGCAGCAAGGTGAACGTCTGAGGAGGAATTTGAACCCAGGTTTTATTGACTCCGAGTCCAGAAGCCTACCCACTATACCACCTAGTTGGTTCTGAATCACACCATGTAGTTACTGTGCCTCAATTTCTTCACCTGCAAAACAGCAATCAGATTTAGAGCTGGAATGGCCCTTAGAGGTCATCTAGTCTAACCTTTCTCATTTTACAGATGAGGAAACTGAGGCTTGGAGGGAGTAAATGACTTGCCAATAGGTGCATAGTGAGTAGGTTTCAGAGAGAGAATTTGAACCAGGTGCTCTTGATATAAAATTAGGGTTCTCTCCACTCCATTATACTGCTTTTAAGGACTTACGATACCTATCATACCGCCCTTCCCTCTTGGACTGTTCAAGGGAGGACCAAAAGGCATGATATACTAGAGGAATGCTTCTGAAAGTATAAAGTGCCATACAGATGTTGAGGATTAATAGTGCCACTCAAACTCTTCCGACCATGCTCTTGCCTGGGGGTTTTCCATGGGGGCGGGGGTAGATCTATAGTGACTGCACCTGTTCCAAACATCAAAACATCAATAATAACATCAATGATGATGATGATGATAATGGTGATGATGATGGACTTAAAAGATTGGCAAAGCACTTTACATGTATTATCTCTTTGTATGAAAATTATCCTATGAGAGTAGGGGCTATTGTTATACCTACATTAGATGAGGAAACTGAATAAAGTCAAATGACTTACCTAGGGTCATAGAACTAGTAAGCATCTGAAACAGGGTTTGAATTCAGATCTTCCTGACTCCCGGTCCAACATTTTATCCACAGTACCACTTAACTTCCTCAATCAGGTCTTGAATTAACTTCTACTTTTCCCCTTCTCTAAATGATTTCCTGAGGGGAATGCTATTCATTGGGTAATTGCTGACTTTGTTTCCTTCACTGGATTCCTCCCCCAACTCCTATGAGCTTTGTAACTTAGCTTGAAATATCCAGCAGCAATGAAGCTGGGTTTGCTGACTTAAAAAAAAAAAAATAAAAGAGTCTTAAGGCCTCTCCTCAAATGGAGCTATTATCTGCTCTGTTCAGCTTGGCACTGTTTTCCTCACGCCTTCCATTTTAATAGCATATCATTTTTTTTTCTTGTTGTGCAGTGAAGCCACATAGAAACTTAATCTTGAATTCTGTGGACTGCTTTAGTGAGGATTCTGAGCCTAGGAGGAGTAATCAGAAAGGGGTGGTGGGAGAGGCGGGAAAGAGCATTTGAGTCTTTGTCCCCAACTCTATATTCGGCCCTTTCATTATTACTTTTCTCCCCAGGATTCATAATACATGCTAGAACAAGGCTCAAGGGCAGGAATAAGGTTTAACTTCCACCCAGATACAATAGAGTATGTACTAGAAGTCAAACTTTCAAATGGCATTTTAGACTTGAAAAATATATTTGATTAGTTGTGCCGGCTGCCTTGATTCATGCTCTCAGCATAATAGAATTGCTACGTCTGGGACCTGAGTGTGCTTTGGCAGGCTGAAGAAAACAGGCGGAGTTCAAGGAATCCTCCTGTGTCACTCCTTGGTACCTTGTCCACGTTTCCACCTCCTACACTTGCTAATTCTCCTCTTCTACAATTCTAATTTCAACACTTCTCGTTTCCTGTCAGTTTCAGACTCACGGACATCAACTTTTTTTCCTCCTTAAAGATGTGCTGTCATCTCCAGGCTGTGCCTAAGTATAACTCTGAATGACAACTGGAAATAACTCCACTGAGCCCACCTCACCTTCCTGGCATTCCACTCCCAATCTCATATGTAGCACCACCAACCTGTTCTTGCTTATTTCTGTTCTCTCTTCTCAGCAGATTTCAGATCCACTTAGAGCAGGTGAACGTTTTCTTCCCCTGAAAAATCATACAGTGGGAACCAATATGGAATAATTGGACTTCATGAAACATCACTGTCAAATTTAAAAATATAAAAAGAGATAATCACGTCTTTCTTTTTTTCTTTTTATATTTTCAGCATGTTCACGTCCATATACTTCCCAGGAAGGCTAATGATTTCAGCAACAATGACAGCATCTATGATAAGGTAGGTCTGTGCCCGTGTTCATTTTGCTCCATCCCAAGGGTGGTCGTAGTAGATACCAACTCAGTGAGACAGGTGTCATCCTTAAGCAGTAGGTGGAATGACTAGAAGAGGCTTCTACCTAGTAGAATTTTTGAAGTTGAGGATCTAGTGAATATTAGACTGTTTGATGCAAGAAAAAACAATGTGTTGGTAGCCTTCTTTTGGGAACTTATTAGTGGCAGCTCCAGAAGGCAATGGAATTCAGGGAGAATTCAGCCCTGTCATTATGCAAAATATATCAGGTTATTAACAATCAGATAGTAACCTAGTCAGGATTCTCATTGTAAATGGGGAATGATGTGAAATAAATCTGGGAAGGTAGCCTGGGCTAAATTATACAGGGGTTTGGGTAGTAGTATGAATATTTTTTAATCCTGGAGGCAATAGGGAGCCAATGAAGCTTTTTGAGCAGGGGATTAAAGTGGTCAGATTGATGTTTTAGGAAGAATACTTTGGAAGCTTTGTGGTAGATGGATTAGAAAGGGAAGAGAATGAAAGAAGGGAGGTCAATTAAGAGAATATTACAGTAGTTGCATGAAGAGTTCAAACAAAGATTTTTAGTCAAATATTACTTTTTAAAAATCCTTCTTTGGAATTCAGTTGTATATGTTACAATCCTTCAAGAAGTCTTTTTCTAGGGCTTCCTTTGTGTATCCCACTGTGCTTGGGTATGAGGGATACAAAGGTGGGGTTCCTGGCTTGGATGGTTCAGATTACCAGTGGATATCCCACAATGGAAACAAAGTCTGTTTGACCAGTGAAAGGGCAGCTGATGTGCCGTAAACTTTTAACATGTCTAAACATATGACTTAAAAAAAAATGAATCCAATGATAATAATGGAAGTAACCTTGTTTGATTGTATCAAAATTGTATAAGTCAATCCTTTCTTAGGGCTTATGCCCATGGAAAGTGTGATAGGTTCTGTTGAATACTGGATTATGGGGCAGATGTGGAAACATAAATTATGTTTATCAGTCCTTATATTTTATCCCAACATTATACCAAGGTAGTAGAAAGTCCCTGTCATGGAATTGAATGGCAAGAGTCTGGAGTCAGGAAGACCTGAGTTCAAATCCAACTTCAGATGTTTCCTAGTTGTGTGACCCTGGGCAATTCATTTAACCTTTCTGCCTCAGATCTCTTATCTATAAAATGAGAATAATAACAACACCTATCTCCCAGGGTTGTAGTGAGGATCGTATAAATTATACACATGTTAAATGCTTTGCAAACTGTAAAGCACTATATAAATGCTAGCTATTATTAGCTATTATAATAATTGTTGTTTAATTGTTTCAATCCTGTCCAACTCTTCATGGTCCCATTTGAGCTTTTCTTGGCAAAGATACGGGAGTGGTTTGCCATTTTCTTCTCCAGCTCCTTTTACAGATGAGGAAACTGAGGCAAACAGGGACAAGTGACTTACTCAGGGTCATACAGCTGTTAAGTGTCTTAGGCCTGATTCAAACTAAGGGAGATGAGTCTTTCTGACTCCAGACCCAGCGTTGCATCACTTAGATGCCAATAATAATTATTTTTAAATCAAAATCTATTTTTCGTTAATGATGTAGACCCTACCTATGCCCCTTTTTGCATTTTTAATTTAGTCTATATGACAATCAATGCTTTAAATACTTGGGCCCAGAAAATAGGTATTGTCTATTGATTACTGTATAAATTACTATACATTATTTATCATATAATTATGAGACATAGTGATTTATGTTGTGACCCTGTTGACTGTTTGGAGTGATGAGTAATTATTAAGGATGGGTTATTTCTCTTGCTTTCCACCCATGGGTGGAACCCAGATAAACCAGGGTATTGAGTCATCATTCCTCCCTAAATTGGGATGGGAGGGAAGGAATAGTAAAGGGTTTGGGGGCAAAGATAGAAAATTGTTTAAGGTCAAAGTTCAATGATTGCTAAGTAGCTAGTGAACGTGACCTAAAGTGAAGAGATATTGTCAATGCTAGGGGTATGGGATAGCAGTGGATATGTATGGCCAAAGACTAGAAGAGGCATGTGGGTTCAAAGTTAAGGCAGGAGCTAATGAGTCACATATTAAAACAGAATTGAGTTCATACAAAAAGAAGACTTTGGCTTCCAGTGCCAAGATGGCGGAGTAAGGAAGGAACCCTCTGAAGCCATCTCAAATTCCCCTCCAGCAGCTAGAAAACTGCCTCAGAATTGATCTAGTTGCAGGGAAGCAGCTTACCATCCCCAAAGCAAACGTCTGTCTTTCCGATGTGGGAGGGGAGCAAGGTCCAACAGCAGCAGCAGCAGCAGCAGCAGCAGCAGCAGCTGGCCTCATAGCAGGGGCTTGGGGCAATCCACCATTGAGGCTTCATCCTCCTGCAAGCCAGTAGCCCCCTCAGCAAGTGAAAGGTCTGTGAAACACAGCGAGGCTCCACCCCACTGACCCCACCCCCAGCCCAAGCCACCAGTGAGGCCTCGATTCCTCTGCTGACCAGCAGTGAAGTCCTAACCCGGGGCTGGCCAACAGCAAGACCCAGCCCGGGATCTATCAGGAGAGAGACCTTGTTTCTGTAGCAACCCAGCAGCAGGGCCCCACCCCTGGGGCAGACCAGCAAAAACATCCCTCCTCCAGGGCCAGCCACCAGAAACTCTATTACCATAGCAACCCAGGCCCCACCCCTGGAACCCTACACCCAGGGGAGGCCAACAGGCAGGCCCCAAGCCCCAGTACAAGCCAGAAGGGAAACCTACTTCCAGAGAAAGCAAGCAGCTAAGCCCTGAAGCTCAGTGAAAGCCAGCAGTAAGACCCAGAGCCCCAGCACAAAAGCTTGGGACAGTGCAAGACCACAGCCTAACTCTTACATAAAAACACCAAGTCACAAAAAAAGGGGGACAGGAAAAATGAGCAAGAAACAACAACAAAAAAAGATTTTGACTGTAGAAAGTTACTATGGTGATAGGGAGGATCAAGGCATAAACTTAAAAGAGGACAATAGTGTCAAAATGGCTACATGCAAAGCCTCAAAGAAAAATGTAATTTGGTCTCAGGCCCATAAAAAATTCCTTGAAGAGCGTTAAAAAGGATTAAAAAAAAAACAAATTAAAAAAACAAATTAGAGAAGTGGAAGAAAAATTGGGAAAAGAAATGAGAATAATGCAAGAAAATCATGAAAAAAGAAGTCAATAGCATGGAAAAAGATGTACAAAAATTGACCAAGGGAAACAAAAAACTCCCTAAAGAATAGAACTGGCCAGATAGAAAAGCTCACTGAAGAAAGTAATTCCTTAAAAATTATAATTGAGCAAGTAGAAACTAATGATTCTATGAGACATCAAGATGTGATAAAACAAAATTTTTAAAAAAAGAAGAAAATGTGAAATTTCTCATTGTCAAAACAATTGACCCAGAAAATAGATCCAGGAGAGAATTATTGGACTACCTGAAAGCTATGATTAAAAAAAATCCTGGACAGCACCTGAAAGAGATCCCCAAATGAAAACTCCCAGGAACATCATAGCCAAATTTTAGAGTTCACAGATCAAGGAGAAAGTATTGCAAGCAGTAAAAAAGAAACAGTTCAAATATCATGGAGCTACAGTCAGGATGATATAGGATTTGGCAGCTTCCACATTAAAGAACTGGAGGGCTTGGAATATGATATAACAGAAGACAAAGGAGTTAGGATTACAACCAAGAATGACCTACCCAGCAAAATTGAATATAACTCATGGGGGAAATAGACATTTAATGAATGAGATGACTTTCAAGCATTTCTAATTAATAGACCGGAGCTGAATAAAAAAAAATTTCACCTCCAAATATAAGACTCAAGGGAAACATAAAAAGGTAAAAAAAGAATCAAGAAAGAGAAAACATAAGAAATTCAATAAGGTTAAACTGTCTATATTTCTATATGACAAGATAATATTTATAACTCTAAAGAGCTTTACTACTATAAGACCAATTAGAAGGAGTATATATAGACAGAGGGTATGGGATAATACCCCCCAAATAAAAACAAAATAAAGGGAAGAAAAAGAAAATTGTATTGGAAGAAGGGGGGAATAAATGAGATATATTATCCCACATAAAAGATTCACGAAAAAGCTATTATAATGGAGTGGAAGATGGGAGTGGGGGGTCGGATGGGCAAAGCTTAAATCTTACTCTCATCAAAATTGGCTCAAAGAGGAAATTACATACACATTCAATTGGATGTAGAAATCTATCTTATCCTATAAGAAAGTAAAAAGAGATGGAAATAATAGAAGAGGGAAGGGGAACTAATAAAAGGAAGGGTATATTGAGGAAGGTAGTGATCAGAAGACACTTGTGGGGAAGGAAAGGGTGGGGGCTAAGAGAGAAGAGGGGATAAGCAAGCAAAACATAGCATGGAGGGAAATACACACTTATCACAAATACAAATGTAAATGGGATGAACTCACCCATAAAATAGAAGCAGATAGCAGAATGGATTAAAAACCAGAATCCTACAGTATGTTGTTTATAAGAAACACAGTTTAAGCAGAGAGATACACACAGAGTAAAGGTAAGGGGCCGGAGCAGAATCTATTATGCTTCAACTGAAGCAAAGAAAGCAGGGTGGTAATCTATCCACTGAGCTGTGTAGCTACCAGTGTAGTGCAATACTACTAACACTTTTACTAGTAGTAGCTGCTTCAGGAGACAGTGGGTTCACCCTCCTTGATTTCTTCAGACAAAGCCTAGCAGACCATTTGTCAGTTTTGTTTTTGTTTTCGCTTGTTTTTTTTTTTTTTTTTTGGTTTTGTTTTGTCTTGTTTGTTTTTTACTTATGTTACAATGAGAGTTTTTCTTGTTCTTTTGGGGTTTGGGTTGGCTTGGATGTTAGCTGAATTTCTTCCCAACCCTGAAATTTTATGTTTCTGAATGACTTAGACCAGTGTGACCTTGAACAACAAGGGGTATTGACTAGATGTATAGTCTAGAAGATTCCTTCCA